TATTTGACTATTGAAAGTGTTTGACGCGAATTTTTGTTTATCCATTTTGACAGCTGCTAGTTTCTGCTAGTAAAAATTTTACTAGCAGAAATTAGCAGGAGAGCCAAAAAAAGAAGAGCTTAAGATCGAGAGAGAGCTGCTAGTTTCTGCTAGTTTTTTGGGTTAAGAAACGCTTTCCAGCAGAAATTAGTGATAATTTGTGATAATTATCAGTTGAGAAACAAAGCTTTTGTTAACACCCGTAACCTATAAGATAGATCGTGTCAGCTGACACGTTCTCCGTTTTTACGTCCGTGGGTAACTGCGCTTTATGTGTGTAGTGGGACCAGTAAGGCAAGGGGGATCGAAAGAATGCAGAAGGAGTCACTACGGAGTTAATTAAACAACTTCGTATGATTACAGGCAATCTAGGAAGCAGGTAAACAAAAAAACTGAAGTAATCCCCATCTTTCAATGAAAATGAGTACTGGCGACGGTCTATAATAATACCGTATCTGGATTCACTAACGGTCTCTTTACAACTACGCCTTTAATGAAAATACTCCAGCTTTTTCGCTGTCTAGATTGCATCAATTGTATTCGATTAAATGTTCCAGTATAAAAAGAACTCGAAGCATTTTCAGCATATCTATGATGTAGGTATGGGAAGTGAACTCATTCTTTGGTACAATTTATGCAAGAAAGAGAACTTTCCCGAAGAAGATTTGAAAGATGTTGAAGTTGTAGATCTGTTTCTTTAAACAATACAAAAAAAATACATCTGATAGCGATAAATAAGGGCATAGTTGCCAACTTAGTGCTTTAAGCACTAGATTTAGTGCTTTTTGAAAATTAAAACGCCAAAAAAAAATGGTTTTGTGCCTAGTGCCCTTTTTAGTGCTTTTTTCTGAACTAAAATTTCCGAATTTACAAGAAAATTTGTAGATTCTAAATGCAAACCATGATTGATAAAAAGATGAAGTTGCAAACCCACGTTCTTGTGTTCTTGTTAAATTGTATTCGCGTTGAAAATGCTAGCACGCAGATAAGTTAAGTATTTATTTTTTTATTTTCTTGATTATTGATTGATTATACAGTTCGAAAAATTTTAACTTTTTTTGACACCTGAGTGCATCGGTTTCTGTAGATTCTTCGGTGCTGAATACAAATCTAGCTGCAGAATTTCTATACCAAGTCAGAATTTTGAGATATCCTAGCCTCTAAGTGTAAAAACTCGGTTTTTCGCAATATTTGAGGTTATATTATAAAACAACAAATTTTTTCGCACATTTCTACTTAGGGTATCATTAAGTATTACTCTTCCCCTTTAAAACTCAATTTCGTTTTTTGCGATCCGATTGTTCCTTCTCCAGATGTACCGGTTTTAATGTGCAGTACTTCGGTATTAGTTCGCAATCATGAATGTGTATTTATTTATACATTATACATGTAAATATTGTTTATTTTTTTACTTTTGTTTACCACAAACTGTTATGAAAAAGAGTATCCTTTGATAAAAAAAAAATTAGTGCTTTTAGTGCGGTAAAACGCTCTTTTTTCCAAGATTTGGTGCTTTTTGAAACTGAAAAGTTGGCAACACTGAATAAGAGTATTTTCATTTTGAGTGCTTCGTAGAGTAGAAACCTGGCTCAGAAGCACAACAGGAGAAGAAAGGCTTGCTGGACTATGCCTCATGAGCGTCCTTGAAAAACTCGTTACCGAAAACCGCGAGTTGATTCAAGATGAAACAATCAAAAAGTTTGATGAAAATCGTTATTAGCGTAAAAATTATTATTCGTTTTTGTTTTTATTGTGGCCTTATAACAATTATATTCAACAATTTATATTGAGCTCGATGCCATTTTTTAAATGAAAATTTATTGTGGAAAAGCAACAATAATTTGAAAAAATGGTAGAAGTGATAGCTATTTCGGAAGTCATCACATTTCCTCATCAGACTTCTTTCAGTAGGATTCGAACCGACGATCCCACTGACTCAGCCAGTTGCCTATGCACCGTGCTAAGTACGCCTTGTAAATTATCGTTTGCTTTTTTCCACTATTTTCATTTTTGTTATGCCAACACAATCAAGCGCAGCTATTCCGCTGCAATTCACTTGATCATGTGGTTGTTGGTATTGTTGGTTTTTGCTAGTAATTCTATTTTTAGAATGTTTAACTTTTAGGTGTGCTCGTCCTTAAGTTATTTGTTTTTGTTATTTTTTTTTTGGCCTTATAACAATTATGTATATTCAACAATTTATATTGAGCTCGAGGCCATTTTTTTATATGAAAATTTATTGTGGAAAAGCAACAATAATTTGAAAAAATGGTAGAAGTGATAGCTACTTCGGAAATCACCACATTTCCTCATCAGACTTCTTTCAGTAGGATTCGAACCGACGATCCCACTGACTCAACCAGTTGCCTATGCACCGTGCTAAGTACGCCTTGTAAATTATCGTTTGCTTTTTTCCACTATTTTCATTTTTGTTATGCCAACACAATCAAGCGCAGCTATTCCGCTGCAATTCACTTGATCATGTGGTTGTTGGTATTGTTGGTTTGTTGACAATAAATTTTCATTTAAAAAATGGCCTCGAGCTCAATATAAATTGTTGAGTAAAAATTATTAAATAAAAAAATATTCAAAAAATTAACAAGTATACTTCGTTTTCCCTCCCCCCCTCGCTCCCTTTAATGGGAATTTTGCACGTTCTATTCCCAAATGTGCTGAACATCCTTTTCGAATCAAATTGATTTTGATTTTATGTTCGAACAATTTGATGATTATGGTTGCCGCTTTCTTTTTTTTGTGCATTTCGCAACGAATTGTATGTACTATTGCCTCTCAGAATCAGAGTTTT